CATAGAGAAAATTGGCATATTGTGCATAAAATATACTGCTGAAATGCTAAGAGTACCTTAGAAAATGCTTTCATGAAAACATTATCCCTGTTATTTTGATAAATGCAACCGCTATCATTGTTTTAAGAGCTGCCATGCTTTCATATCATTTGAAAGACTTCGTGACTTCCGGTCTGGGTCTTGACTGTGTGTGTAAGCAGAAGCCGAGTCTCAGTTGGTGAACTGGTTAGAACTTTGAGATTGTTTGAAAGGCCTGAAGAATCAAGAGCGACTTGCAGCAGCATCCAATGCCTGCAGGTCCTCAGAGAAGATCACCAAATTAAAAAAGGCAGGGAAATAACACCAATTCCCATCATCAACATCATGGTTCTTATTCTTTTTGCTTTTAACTTTTGTTTTTCCCTTCTTTCACTTTCTCTCTCTACTCCCATCACACTGTTGTTTTCTTAGTATGTTTTTCTCTCGTTCCGCCTTTTCTGTGCTGAGCACTGCAGCCACTTTCAAAGGCTCGGCTGTCACGCGCCGGCTTTGAGAGCTAGTTTAATTTTTAACGTACATGTTGTCAGGGTGCCGTCAGCAGTGATTGACAGGTTCGTCCCAGAGCAGCCCTGCTTGGCAGGCTGGCGTCTTTTGTCAGAGAGAGTGAAGAGAAGCAACAAAGAAAGGAGAAGAGGAGGAAAAAACACATATAAATAAAACACAAACCCCCACTTACACTTTTCAATAGAGATTCAATTAAACGAAACTTAACGTTGAGCTTTTTCATATATGGAAAATGGACTTGATATTTCCTTTTGTTCTAAGAGCGGCAGCAGGAAAACTGGAGAAGAAAGTGTGATAAACATAGGTGGAGATATGAGTGCTTTGCAATATATATATATATATATATATATATATATAAATGAACTTAATGCAATAGATTGTTTAAGCCAGAGAGTAAAGTGACCAGCGTATTGTGATATACTGAAGGGACTGAATATTTAATCCACTCCTCTAGATATCTGTTTTGCTATTATATTTATCTAGATAGCATAACAACCATAGGATTACTACTTGAGGCTATTTGAGCATCAGCCAAGCTGACACAATATCATATGCTTACATAAGCAGTTATATACATGGCCCTAGATGATCTTTCTGCAGACTCAAAAGAATCTCAGAAGTGTATTTGCAGATAAATTTATTTTCTTTCTTTTTTCTTTTTTTGTCTCTCCCAGTCAGATGAAGACATGAGGCTCCTCTAATGTAAACACTGAGAAGGACACTCTTTGGAGTGTCAGGATTCTGACAGGACCGCCGCAAGCCAGTTCATCTCTGTGCACGTATCCACACTAGCCATAAATGTTTGAGAATGAAAAGAGCAGGACAAGGAGTTCACAAAAATGCAAACAGTAAAATTGTCCTTGCAACATGGGATTTGAGTCATTTAACATTCATTTTAATCAAAACCAATAGCCACAGAATGTAGTTTTCATTGGCTTTTTTGAAATTCATTTTTTGTTGGGTTCTTTTAGAGCAGTGTGGTTTCAGTATGGTTTGTGATGCTGGTTGAAATTATTCTTTTATGAATAAGAACTAGAGTAAATGTCTTTTTTTGCCCAGCTGTATTCATTTATATTTTTAGGTCATTGTCAAAGGCACCGATTGCTCCGTACATACCAGTCTATTAAATTTCAAAAAAGGATAAGTCAGTACAAGGATTTAGAAAAACGATAGCTCCAATAAACAAATCCCCAGGGTCATTTCTTTTTGTTATGTTTCGTTTTATGCTGTGTTCTTTATTTGTTCAAAAGTTTGGGATTGGTAAGATTCTTAAATGTTTTTGAAAGATGCTTATGTTTACCAAGCATTTATTTGATCAAAAATACAGTAAAAACACCAATATTGTGAAATAGTATTACAATATAAATAACTGTTTTCTATTTTATCCATATATTCAAATATTTAATATATTAAATATTACATACATATTACTATAATCAATATTTATTAAAATGTAATCTGTGATGGACAAACTGAATATTCAGCAACCATTACTCCAGTCTTCAGTTTCATATGATCTTTCTGAAATCCCTCAAAACATTTGGTCTTCAAGTAACATTTACTACCAGTGTTGAAAACAGCTGCACTGCTTCATATTTTTGTGGAAACTGTGATATATATTTTTTTCAGGATTTCAGAATAATTACAAAGTTCAAATGAACAGTATGTATTTGAAATATAAATGTATGTAACTGTGTAAAAGTCTTTGAAGTATCTTTTGATCAATTTAATGCATCCTTGTTGAATAGAAGTAATTTCTTCAACAACAACAAAACAGAAAAACAAATCTTACTGACCTAAAACTTTTGAACAGTAGTGTATGTCTAAAAGGGTAGCATACTTTCTAGTTTTGGTCAAGTTCTTGCAATTTTGGCACAACTTAATACATTTCCACATTAAATGATTTAAAACTTTATTTTTTCATCTTTAGTGTAAAATTTTGCCCTATATTGTAGGACATGCATCATGAAAACGAATGAAAATGTACTGCATATTAAGAGTGACTCCTGTATCTGTTGTTATATTTGGTAGAACAAAATTTGAATGCGAGGGGTCTTTGTGCCACACATGATGCCTGAGTGTTTACCACCCTGTCTGAGATGGGTGTACATTTTCCCCCTCTGCCAGCATCTTTTTAATAAAAACAGATCTTGCATTTGATAACGCCTTGACATTTGACAGTCTGTTCAGACCAATCAAATGAAGCAGAATTCTTTTTTTCTCTTCGAGTCGTCTAGCGGTGCAGCATTGGGAAAAATAGTCCTGTCACTCCTCAGAAGCCTATCAAAGACTGCCTTAGCCGCAACGATCAACTTCCGATAGCACTGCCACCGCCCCCTTTTTTATTTATTTATTTGTTTTGTAAACCAGCCTGTTGAGACATCATAGCTAACATCAGAGCTAAACGTTGATAGTGCCCCACTTTCCTCTGAGAAGCGCCGGGTTGTTTTAGTCTCACGGATGGAGGGAAGCGATGGTGACTCTGTCAGTCATGACAGAGCCAGAACCTCAGGGAAACAGGTCGAAACCGCTTCCTGGTCACCACCGTGTACCCTCGTTATAAAAGTAAAGCACGGATCACATTATGTATGTGAGTTCCTCCAGTGAGGGTACTCTTAAAAGAAGCAACAAAGCTTATAGTCTCCATGGTCAGGGGCGTCATGCGCATTCAAAGTGGGCATGATTTGAAAAATTCAGATTTCTAAGCCAAGTGCATTTTGAATGCAGCTTCCAAAAGACAAAATAGCGGAATAATATTTTTTATATTTGATACAATCGCACCGGTGTGATTAGATCGTTCAGTGCGGCACAGCATCCGCTGCTACATTCAAATCTGCGTTCGCTGGCTGGCGCTGAGCCAGAGACAGACGCGTTTTTACAGCGCTGCGCATTATAACCAATCACACACGAGTCTGTTGAGCTTATGAATGCAATGGCCAATCAGAGAGGCCAACATTTCACTAAAAATGTTTTTTTTATTGGTATTTTTCTTATGAAGTATTCTAATTTGTTGTGAATTGGTGGGTTTTTGTTAAATGTGAGCCAAAATCATCACAATTAAAAGAACCAAAGACTTAAACTACTTCAGTCTGTGTGCATTGAATTTATTTAATACACGAGTTTCACAATTTGAGTTGAATTACTGAAATAAATGAACTTTTCCACAACATTCTAATTTATTGAGATGCACCTGTATGTGCAAAAATCAATGGTACTAAGCACAAAGTTCGATGACAGCACTTTTTTAGTGTACCTACAATTACATGCATTATTATGAATTTTAAAACCAAATAATGAATATCTTCATGTATCCATGTACAAGACAACCCAACATGTAGAACTTTAAATGTTTTTAAAGTGGTAGATACTCTAAATCTTTTTGTGTTGCTTACAAGAAAAAAGTTGCTAGTACTGGCTACAGAATCTGATAGTTTGTGAATTTGGCAGCAGCAAGAAAAGAGTAGGACGCAACAGGACAAACTTTGCATAAACTCACAAACACAGTTCTTTCAATATAACAAATCCACAATTTGTCTTTTCTAGCGCCAAGAAAAGGATTATTCACTTTAATCATGTCAATCCTCTGCAGACGACTAAGAATGCATCTGTACCACACACTAAACTCAGCCTCTTGATTACTTTTACCAAATAACTAGCAAAGGCCATCAACCAGAATTACAAAGAAAAACACAGGTAGACTCAAGGATACTGGTCAGTTTGCGGCCGTTTTTTTTTATTGGTCTTTTGAAGTATTCTAATTTGTTGAGATAGTGAATTGGTGGGTTTTTGTTAAATGTGAGCCAGAATCATCACAATTAAAAGAACCAAAGACTTAAACTACTTCAGTCTGTGTGCATTGAATTTATTTAATACACGAGTTTCACAATTTGAGTTGAATTACTGAAATAAATGAACTTTTCCACAACATTCTAATTTATTGAGATGCACCTGTATGTGCAAAAATCAATGGTACTAAGCACAAAGTTCGATGACAGCACTTTTTTAGTGTACCTACAATTACATGCATTATTATGAATTTTAAAACCAAATAATGAATATCTTCATGTATCCATGTACAAGACAACCCAACATGTAGAACTTTAAATGTTTTTAAAGTGGTAGATACTCTAAATCTTTTTGTGTTGCTTACAAGAAAAAAGTTGCTAGTACTGGCTACAGAATCTGATAGTTTGTGAATTTGGCAGCAGCAAGAAAAGAGTAGGACGCAACAGGACAAACTTTGCATAAACTCACAAACACAGTTCTTTCAATATAACAAATCCACAATTTGTCTTTTCTAGCGCCAAGAAAAGGATTATTCACTTTAATCATGTCAATCCTCTGCAGACGACTAAGAATGCATCTGTACCACACACTAAACTCAGCCTCTTGATTACTTTTACCAAATAACTAGCAAAGGCCATCAACCAGAATTACAAAGAGAAACACAGGTAGACTCAAGGATACTGGTCAGTTTGCGGCCGTCTGAAGTTTTCTGGGAGATGAGCTTCATACAGCTGTCTTGCCTTGGTGTTGCCCATGCTCTGCACGCTCTAAACGGAGAAAGACAAACAAAAAAAACAAAAAAAGATAACAGGTGAAAACGGAGAACAACGCAAACCATCCATTTATCCCAACGTCTATCAGAAAGGAGAAAAAGCAAGCACCTTAATAAATAAAATTATTATTTAAAATATTTTTGTCTCAGCAGGTTTAATGGAATATTTAAAAAAAAAAAAAAGGTAAATATTTTACAGCGTTGCACAAACCTATTCCTAAACTACATTTGTTCATCATTTTGTAACATTTTATAATGTTTTTATTAGTTTGCACGTTTTATGCAGTCGTCACGCATGAAAGTGTTCCTTTAATAAGTAAAATTTTGGATTAAACAAAAATTGCATGGACACAAGTTTAAAAAGTAACCTACATTTGGTTCACTGTAAATGAGAACAATCGGTATCGGCAGATCACACTAACAAAAAATCGGAAATCGGAATCGGCCAAGAAAATTGCAATCGGTGCATCTCTAAAAGTACACATTTTATTTCAAGCTACATATACATTGTTAGACAAATAGTTTGATATAGTATTTCTCATTATAGTTTTCTTTACAAAAAATATTGCACAAAAATTGAGAATTAATTCACAAACACACTTTCACAGTTTTGTTAACTGGTTCAAAACTCAATTAGTGTCAATAAGTGCAGAAACTCAAAACATATAGCACAAAACTCTATAAGACCAATAAACAAATTAATCAAGTGCAATTCATGAAGCAGGTCGTCTAAATAAGTGTAAACTCTGAAACATATGCATCTCTGTACAATGTTACCCTTCACATATTTAAAATGCTTAAATGATGACCTGAGGGGGAAAAAATTTATTTAGTATTCTGATATGTATTTAGCAAGATAAATTGATCTCTCTCTCTCTCTCTCGATGTTGAAGTACCGCAATGACCTCTGAATAAAGAGTGACCTCATTCATTCTTTGAGGTGGTGAAATTTAATTGGTTGCTGTGTGCACAATCGCCGGGGCAACAAGAGTGACGGTGCAAGATATCTGTAACATGATTCATGGCACACATCACAGTTCCTAACTTTCTATGAAAGCTAGTGGTAAAATGCATGACCTTTTAACCTGAAACAGACTAAAAAAAAAGCTCAGTCGTCTGTGCGAGTTTATGGCCCTGATTCTTAATTAAACATGTAATCGAGGCTATTTCAAACATATACAAATTACACGCATTTGCATTATCAGTTCTATGTCACGTACGTCTAAGCCTGGCAGAGACAAATTAATATGAGGATGATGGATCCGACTGAAGGAAGAGGAGATGCTGAAAAACAGACAAGTAATTACCCATCAAGAATTAATTATCCATCCAGACGTCAATTAATATGCAAAGGGGAGATGCAAGACTCCCTTTTGGTTGCTTAAAAACTCATAAATATTTTAAGCCACACTGTTTTTTAAAGCACAACACACAGAAACACACATATTCAGTTACACAAGTATACCTGCAATATGAATGAAGGTTATCTGGACTACATGATGCAGTGTGTTTTGAAGCCATCACTCACACTACAATAGAAAAACAGGTGTCCTAATAACTTCAGGAAGGGCTCAACAAGGATTTTTATGTTGGCTTGATCACTGTCCCCACCACAAATATAGCAAACATACTTTTACAATTATTCTATTTTATACTTCAAGGGTTTGCAATTTAGATAAAAACTCATATATGTTAGCCAACTATACACAACTAGACGTAACTTTGGCAAAAAGATAGGAACGCAGATGGATATTAGCCATTTTTTTATATTATCATTATGTTATATATATTTTTATTTTTTCTTACTATTTGGAATGGAAATTTGGAATATTTAAATAAAAATAATAATATATTTATATTTAATAATCACACCATAAATTATAATGTTATGATGCCTAAACTCACTTGTAAAATATTTATTTTAGATTTAGTGTGTTTTAATTTACTATCCGTAGTACTGATTTATAATATTAGCCTTTACATAAAAATAATTACTGGTGTGATTACAAGTCTCGGCCAGAATTTCAATATCAGTACATCTCTAGTGAAATGTTTTGTACAAAAATAAATGAAGAACACTACCATTCAAAAATTCATACTTTTATTCAACAAGGACACTTTATATCAATTCACACATGCGTCGTGGTACTCTCGTAAACAAAAATAACAAAAGAAAACAAAAATAATGACGGTCCTCTCGTGAATGTGCATCGAAGACTGACAGGGAAGAAAATAAATTGTTGAATAAAGTCGTTATTTTTGTTTTCTTTGTGCAAAAAAAGTATTCTCGTAGCTTCATAAAATTACGGTTGAACCACTGATGTCACATGGACTATTTTATTGATGACCTTACTACCTTTCTAGGCCTTGAATGTGGTAGTTGCGTTGCTGTCTATGGAGGGTCAGAAAGCTCTCAGATTTCATCAAAAATATCTTAATTTGTGATCTGAAGATAAATGAAGATCATATGGATTTGGAACGACATGCGGGTGAGTAATTAATGAGACTTTTCATTTTTGGGTGACCTATCCCTTTAAGAAATTCTTACCAACCCCAAACTTTTGAACAGTAGAGAATGTGACCAACAAATGCTAGACACTGTGAAATAGCAGTACTGCCTTAATCTGTCGGATGAGAGTCAGGTCATCAACAGGCCCAAAACATCTTGTTGAGCACCATAAGAAAGAAAAAACAACCAACACATGAAAAAACACATACTTGAATCTGCTCGGGGGTCCATTGGTCCAGGTTGACGGATTTAACACGTGATATATGCACTCCCAGGTTCCGGTGTATTCCAGCACAGCGGATACAAATAAACACACCAAGATTCCAAGAGGCCCACCGAGGTCCTGCGGAGAAAGAGAGAGAAAACAGACAGATTTTAGACCTGCAGTAAAGCACTTCCCATTATCTGAAACAGATAACGCCATCATAACAACAGGCAGTGAAGAAACAGCGGTTTAAAATAAATTTTCTGAGTCACGGTGCCGCCTCGAGCTTCATCGTGCAATTCCGCCTGGCCATGGCATCGAATAAACCGCATTGTGCTGTGATGCCGAAAAACCAATATCTAAACAATGGAATTTTGCAGTCGTGATAATAAAATTCGATCCAAGCGCCGGATGAATGCAGCAGGTAGCCCACCTGAATCAACAGTCAATAGCCGCAGGTACCTGAATAAAGTAGTGAAACTACATTGTGAGGCTCCTGATCTCATCAACCACAGAAAAAAGGGAGAAGAAAAATGTGAATTGTGCTACAATACAGACTGCATGTGATTATCTTCAGCCCGGTGTGTAATATTCAGCTCTCAGAAGTGACTGTAATAGCACGGGGGCGGACGAAAGCGCTCTGACGGTAGACGGTAACAAAGGCAGAGACGGAGGTTGTGTATCTTTCAGTTCTGAGCGCAAGAAGTCGATAGCTTTCGGGTGAAAAGTTGCGCATGGAAGCGGACGGATTGGGGGGTGTGGGCGCACTGGAGCGGTCCTGACAGCTCTCGGCTGCTCGGTTGGCGCTGGTGAGAGCGCTGCTCCTGACGGGCTATAAATCACCGGGTTTGCTGGGAAATGCATTTCTGTGGTTCACCCGCCCTCTTTGGCTTTATTTACACCTGTCAGCCATCTTAGGACGTGTCCAATTCGCTTCCTCCGTCTCACGCTTTCTCGCAGAACGGAGCCGTATCCCTGGTTTCAGGGGGGGATGGGATCTGTATTCTGCCTGCAGGACGCCTGGCATGCGTTTGCAAGAGTAGAGTAAACCACTGACCCAGGCAGTGCCACCCACACAGCTCCTGAATAGAAAAAAATTGTGCACACAAACGCACATACACTACAAGTACAGCCATTAGCATAACAAACAATACCGCACTGTTTCTTCACTTTTAAGCATGTTCATAATTTATCCTGCATGATTGCTCAGGATATTAATGGCTATCTTGCTTCTGTTCTGTGCTCAGATGACAAAAGAGGACGGGCGACGCGTGAACAGGCTGATAAGATTCCCCAAACACGGAGGAAAAACTCTGGTGAAAACTGCAGTAATGAGAGAGAGCGGGTTTCCAGTCTCTTATCTCTCACCCTCCCCAAAGTACCATCCGGCTGGCTGCACAGGCTCCGTCTGCCACCCTCCCAGATTTATTAGCCCAATAAAAGGCTGCAAGATTGTGTCTCACACCGCTGCACCAGGAGCTGCATAACTCACCCACAATTAAAGAGGGTTAATTTGTCATTAAGTGGAGCCCGGTGCAGTGAAGGGTGCGGTGCCCCTGCGGAGGATTGGATTCTTACAAATACTTGAATAGAAAACGATGTGAAACACAAAGAACAGTTTGTGCTAAAGAATTAAGATGAACTAAAATTATATTGACTATAAAAATGTCCATGCCTTTTAAGATTTTATTCATTTCTATGAATTTCCCAGGCGCTGTGAAAGTTTCTTTTGGAGTTCCCTGATTCTCCAGGTGTTCCAGCACCGTGAAAACCCCAGTTTCAAAAGTTTCAAACAGTCCAAATCAAAACATTTGGAAGAGCAAATACACATGCAAAATAGAACATTTTCGATATGCCTGCAATGATACACTGGCGTAAAGTTGACGTTGACGACTTGAGATGTAGGAGTGGGCAGCGAAACCAACATATGATGATGCGTAATTTTATATCATAATATCAATATTTATATATATTTTATATATATTTTATTTTAGTTTACTCCCGCTGACGTTCCCACACAGTGTTGCCAATTTGGGGATTTTGTCGCCAAATTTAGCTACTTTCTCATTGTAGCAAGCAGTGCATGTCGGTTAGAAATTTAGTCCGACTTGAACCGGCGCCGACGCCACGTCACTGTCACGTGTGGCATCAAAGTACATCGAAAGCGTTTTGAGAGTGACTGCATGAGCGCTGATGACGACACAGCCGTTTCACAATTGGCCAAATTCAACACATGACAATAATGACCTGTGTTTCTAACATCTTCAAATCCAATACTGCTCATAAATCTTGCACTTTGGTGACACATAAAACAAATTCCCAACATTATGTGTCTTTTGTGTCTTTCCATCATTTTTGATGTGCTTGCAGATCACAAGCATTTCCTCATTTCACTTCAGAATCTTTTGTTATATTTTTTATACTGTCATCATTTGTAAAGTATATATATATATATACTTTCCTTTACCTTTACCAAATTTACCTGTATTTACTTTGTTTTCATATTTGGCGACTTTTTGTTAA